TATCTGACCTCCATCCTTCCCTTCAGTCTTCTATCTGACCTCCGTCCTTCCCTTCAGTCTTCTATCTGACCTCCGTCCTCCCCTCCAGTCTTCTATCTGACCTCCGTCCTCCCCTTCAGTCTTCTATCTGACCTCCGTCCTTCCCTTCAGTCTTCTATCTGACCTCCGTCCTTCCCTTCAGTCTTCTATCTGACCTCCGTCCTTCCCTTCAGTCTTCTATCTGACCTCCGTCCTCCCCTCCAGTCTTCTATCTGACCTCCGTCCTCCATTCCAGTGGCCCCGCCCCTTTCATTTATTGGATTTCAGTCCAGTCAATCATGGAGGCCCAGCATCACATGCGGGTGGTCTTGATTCAAATACAGCCTGCCCAGGAACGCCCACTCCTCCTGACCAGCCTACTGCCAGCATCAGGGCCGAGGGCTCTTGAGAGGAGTACTGAGGTGCTCCTCCCTCTAACCATGATCTGCCTGCATTGCATAGAGAAGCAGAGAGAGCCAGTGATGACATCACAGGATCTAAAACAAGGAGTGTAATGAAAACGTATCATCAATGTCATGCTGATGAGGGGGGAGGGGGACTAGGGAAGGCGAGAGATTTAACTGCTCATACACAGGAGGATCAGATAATCAGGAATTGATAATGATACCTATAGGTGACTCCTCCCCCAATGTCAGAGGTAAAGAATACCCAAATCTAATGGGACTCACCAACACTGTACTTCCAGAGGGGGGTGTTCTCTTTGTTTGCCCCGAAATCCACCATTCCACCGAACACACACAGGACATCCTACGGGGAGAATGACGATCATTGACTCATTCACAAATACATACAATAAACATATGGGGAGCACACGTATGAAGCAGTGAATCTTACATTCATCCGACAATCACTGCAGGCGAATCTTCCAGGTGCCTGTGTTTTAAATGACGGTGACTGATTCACCACCAGTGAATTTTTGATGAAAGTCGCATTCACTGCTTTATAAATATAGTTGATGGAAACACAATAACTAGATTCACTGAAACTCCAATGGTGTGGTGCATGGTTTAGGCAACCTTGGCATTCCAGCTATGGTGGAAACTACAAATCCCACTACGTCTATGCGAGTCATGCATGCCTCGTGGGATTTGTAGTTTCACCAATGCTGTAGTGTCAGGGTTGGCTATACCTTGTGTGGTGGACAGATAGTAAATGCACAAGGGATTGTTTATATCTGTGAGGGGTTAAAGGTGAATGTGAGAGGAGACGGGGGACGCTGGAATGTGCAGATGTCTGGGTGACCCTCTAACATGTTTGAGGCAGCGCGGGATGGAACGGTTCCTGGATACGGGTCAGATATCCGAAGAGCCGGAGCATCACTTCAGGACTCCATCTGCCTGACCACCTTCTTCCATCGCTCTGTGGTCCAGTTCTGATGCTCGCGTGCTCATTGTAGGAGCTTTTGGTGGTGGACACGGGTCAGCATGGTCACCATGACCGGTCTGCGGGTACACAGCCCCATACACAACAACCCGCGATGCTCTGTGTGTTCAGACTCCTTTCTATCAGAACCAACATTCACTTTACCAGCCATTTGATCTCTTCTATTGGATCGGATTACACGGGCCAGACTTCTCTCCCCGGTCCATCAATGAGCCTTGGCCCCCCATTACCCTGTCACTGGTTCACCGGTTTTCCTTCCCTGGACCACATTTGGTCGGTCCTGACCACTGCAGACCGGGAACAT